CCGCCTGTGCTCAGACAAAAAGTAAGCAGCATTCAGGGCGGGTATAATGAAAGTGTGTCAGCCCTAAAAGCCAGCGTGGGAATGTGATCCCTTGGTGCAATTTGATGACGCGATAGCATTCAAATCAAACTTCAACTTATAGGTAAGTCTTGTTTACTTTATTAATACCATCACATCATCATTAACCCAAGGATACCACTGATGAGATTTTGAAGCCAAGACATTCACACGAGGAAACAACCCCAAAGCTCTAACAGCAGGTGTTTATTAAATTATAAACCCCAGAACAACACTAAGTAACACGAACTGCACCCACTCAAGTGGTTTACAAGAAACCTTACAAAGTTGTACTTTAAATGAAGTAAACAGCAATAAGAGATCCTGTCAAACACAACTGTCTATTAATGATTATTGTCTATGACACGTCATAAGACGACTCATCGAAGTACTGCACAAGCAAAGCTGGCTGTCTCAACAGGCCCATTATAGAACTGGCCAATACATCTCGAGAATGACCATTCAGCTATGCGTAAAATTTCTTAAATAGGGACACTTGCTGCTTTTGCTTTAGAAGTAGCGGCAGCCCTTGTACTGTATGATTTGAATACTGTAAAATCAACACCAGCTAATTCTATAACCACCTGGATCCACACGTAACTTTTTCCTTTGAAGCTGTTTCTTAAGGTTTGATGACACTGGGGCGGATCCGGGGGTGGTTCGGGTGGTTCGGTCGAACCCCCCTAAATTTTCCCTCAGAACGCTGGAAATCACGTTCCGAACACCTAATTTTCAAAATCTTGGACCCCTCAGAAGGGGAACAATTCTCCGGACCCCCTTGACTAAATCCTGGATCCGCCCCAGGACGCTAACAAAGAGTTTACTTTCCAAACCCCCTAAGAAGCTTCTAGTTCGTTAAGATATTCTTTCAAATATGTGACCTGTGACACAGAGAGATGAAGTAGAAGGGTAGGTTTCCAAAGTAACGGATGGAGCTCTGGCGGCCTGCTTTGTTTAACATGTTCCGTGAGCAGAAATTCGAATCCATTAGGCAACTCCTTCATGCAACTAATGTCAAGAATATGTAAGCTTTTCCCTCCTTGCGCAGACACTAAAGTTTCCAACATTAAATGTGTGATTTCAAGTCAAGTTTCTCTGGTGGCTTGAGCGAGGATAGTTAGGCTAAGACAGAATGTACATCCTAAGTGGACTGGTAACGAGCAGTTGGTAGTGTTTGCAGATACCCTTAATAAATCTGGAAAACAGAGGGTGACTGTCAATGGTCGTGATCGATGTCGAAACTGGAGCGCAACGTTTCGACTGCATACTGCTAGTCTTCATTAGGCGGTCAATCCAGTATGCGTCATTTATATATTGTTGTGCTCAGCTGTGAATGGATGGAATTCCACGGCTGTGTTTAGGGCGTCTTCAGATCTGCAGACTGCCCTATGGCCATGCACGCCTGCCCTTTCCATAATCAGCGGCTGTAAGCCACTTGTTGTCATAGCAACATTACGGTCTAAAGCGACATACAACGAGTATTTCTTGCTGCAGGAAAAGTTGACTTCTTGGTGGGCAGGAATTTTTAAAAAATCATGGCTTCAAATGACGGTCTGTACCTTATATATTTAGATTGAATTTTTCTTTTACACACATTTGTCTAAAAGAGCTAAAATTTTATTTCTTAGCTCGAAGAGCCGTCGCTTTTGGAACGACTCTTGATCGAGAACTGTTACCACTGAAAATTCCAGCAAATCGCTTTGGAAATGAACTCGCCTTACGAGGCGCTCCAAACCGCGGCCCTGGATGTTATTACAATGCGGAGGTAGCTGAAGAACAGTTTTATTCTCTATCAGTTTTCAAATAGTCTTAAAACAGCTGATCTTGTAGGGAAAGAATGCAGTATCATTTGTGCGTGACTTAGTGCGATGTGTCTGTCGGTGAGTATATCGTGGTTAAGTGTTTGTTTTACATTGAAGTCACTCCTGGGGTAGATATTAACGATTTCATTGAGTCGACTTAATCTAGCAATTCATAACGACCTGGAGTATGCTTTTGCCTGATGAAGACTAGCGGAGTGCAGTCGAAAGTTGGCGATATAACCCCTGACTGAAATGGCAACATTGTCAACAATTAGCTGGATTGCTGTTTAATACTTCACCTCAATAAACTTCATGTAGTGTGTTCCATAAACTGTAAACTCCTTCCTAGCGATAGCTTGTTCTAGTTTCTTTGCAACAGATTATTTCTCGGAAAAGGGTGGTGATGAGGAAAGTAGTCATGTTTTGAAATCAAGGCTATTTGTTTTCGAAAGATAACTAATTTTTTAATCGTTTCTTCTTGCCGGTCAGGGTACTGGCTTCATTTATGAACTTGAGCGAAGACCAGTTTGTAGAAGAGGCTATTCAGTTGGAGCCAGAACCGCCCCAAGATTTCCTAAACCAGCCCATGTAAGTACAAGTTTAAGACGTTCAAGTTCAAGTGAAAATGTAATTTAACTGATCAGCTGCCATAGTAGATTATTATTTGAAGTTATAAATATCTGTCTTTTAAAGGAAAGGCTCAATGCACAAATCTTTCATAACCTTTTGTTTTCTCCAAAAGATAACCAGAGGATTACTTACAGTAAGGGTTAATTGACATAAAGACTTTAAAATTTTGCTGATCAATGCTGAAGACATCACCTTTTCAAAACTTGTCATCATCAATCAATGCTACCTTTAGCCGCTGTCATTGTCAATTTTAAAAATCATGTGAGTTTCAAGTTGTTGTTGAATGACATCCATTAGTAGCTTACAACTTGTTTTCATATCCCTCTATGTAGCTGGATGTTCCTGGACCATCAACTTATCAAGAGATTATCAGCAAACCAGTTCACTTTGATGAAGCTTTTAAAGCATTTAACATTGGCGCAACAAGATTCCCACCAATTAACCAGGTGAAACTCCTCATACGCTATTGGAAAATTCACTACTTGACGAGGGAATTCCACATTAAATTGCATGCGAAAACCGATATCGGTTTCCGCATGCAATTTAATGTGGAATTCACGAGTGAAGTAATGGATTTTCCTTGAATCACATAACTGAATAGCAATGAGTAAAAAAGGATACAGCATTACTTAAACTTGTATGCTTACGTAGATGCGAAACAATATCACTTAGCCTCGTTTTCAACTCGCAATTCCAGGCTAAATACCTCGCTTTGGTAACCAATCAGAATGCGAGGTTTTATTTAATGATGCGATTCTATATATAATCAATAACAAAGTCAGAGTAAGAGAGATGTCATTGAGGCTTTCCATTAATGTGAAGGTTTCATCTTTAATCAATCCCTGATGGTGGACTTCCACGAATGTGAAACAAAAAGAAAGCTAATACGTATGATGCATTAAGCTAATATTTACAGATCGCACAGTCTTAATTAAGTCCCCAAGCAAAAACACAGAAACAGCTGGCATTTTTGCTTCCAGAGGTTGCTCACTTCAGATTTATAGCCATGCAGTCTTGGCTCAAATAGCATTGGACTTCACATGTATGGTCTTGGAACCTTTGGTTCAGACATTTGCAGTTTCTATTCTTATCCTGATACAAAACAAAGTATGTTCATAAAGATTCCTAAATATGTGAATGTTCTTAAGACTGTTAATTAATATCAGTATGCTTATCCATATTGCAGGACCATGGCCATCCAGGGTGGGTAAAAATATTGATTTTTATCATGCCTCTTTTTTTTAACATGCAATTTTGCTAATTTAGTCAGGTGATGACTTCAGTCTGGTTCATAAAGTGCTTGGAGATGTTCTGGACTTAAATGTGCCTAGTCGCATAGTAAATCATTTGAGAATGAGAGCCTCTTAATATAAAGTCAAGGTTTTATTTTTTCAATTCTTTGAAGTGCTGAACATGCTACTTCTCATGATAGTTTTAATACATTATACTGCATATAGGTTGTACAAGCTGACATGCTTTAATGTACACATACTAGATTTGGGCGTGTGTCATTAGAACTCCAAACAGAGAAGACAAATTCATTAGGGACAGAGTGTCGTTGTGATTCAACACCAAAATTCTTAAAGCCAATTTATCAATTAAAGAAGTGGACAGGAGCTAGAAGGATCAGTCATATGATACTATAAAATTAATCTTGGGTGTCAAAACTTGAAAAAAGAAAACAAAGTAAAGGGTGATTAGGGTTGGCTTTACTTTGTGACATCATGTTCAATATTTCCAACACAGGCCTGGTGCGTATGAGTTTGATGCCATAAGGGACAGGAAGGTGAAGTATCATGGCTCTTTTGGTGGACCACAGACATTGATAACGTCAGTTACAATTAAATGCAATGAATTTGGAGAGCCAGATATTGTAAGTATCCCAAGCCTTTGAAGCATTTCCTCCAAACATCAGTATAGATATTCTCCATATTGCCAGAGGTAATAGAGGAGATATTGATATTGCTCACTATACATTTCCTGTGTTTCAAATAAGAAGAATTTGAATGTTTAACTACCAAGAGCTTT